GTTCGTGTCTTCTTCTAAATCAGCACTTGCTAGAGCATTTTCTCTTTTTAAGGTAAAAAAGAAGAAATGAAGTCTAGTTTGGCAAACACAGCGATTAGAAATATTTCCCCCCCACTTCTGGCTTTCCTACCTATAAACTTACCATCCACAAATATATCTAAATTTTAAAAGTAGCATTATCGAAAAGTGACTAGTATCTTTAGAATAGGAATAGGAGTCATTCATTCACTCAAGAGTTAAAGCAAGTTAAGCTCAATTTTGAAGATGTTAAAACTGCCAGGTAATAGCAAACAACAAAAGTTCACTTAAACAAAAATTGCTTCATTTAAAGCTCTTCGAGATTTAGCTCACACTATCCTGCTGTCTAATTCCATTCTCTGTTCTACAGCTCCAGATGCACTGCGACACTCCCCGGGGTCTATAAAGGTTAATATGCCTGCAAAATACTACTATGTAAAAGCAATCTGGCCAAGAGGAAAACTGCGATTTCCTACTTATAGTAGTTCTGTAATAGTTAAAGCACTGCTCGTCAAAAGTAAATTCTGAAATAGCAAATATAATATAAAGTGTTGGTGCCCACGGATAAAGTGAGGTCTGAGCATCAGTCCAACAAGAAGAGAACAGATCCGGGACCTTAAGGAGTGAGGGGAGACACTGGGGAGTAGGAGTCACTCATTCATTCACTGTTTCCTGGGTGCCTACTCACTTCCAGCCTCTGCCGACACAATGTCGTCCAGTGGCTGAAGAGAAAGGCGAAGTTCACAATAAAATGGCAATATTTATAATACGCGGTGTAGAAATGTAAAAGAAACAAGAGAAAAAGGAAAGGCTTCTCAGAGGAAAGGAGGCGTCTGGCATGCAGCCGATCCTCAGTGAACGCTGGCCGGGACGAGTCCTCCAGCAGAGCACGAGCTCCGCTGAGGAGCAGGTCCACGTCTAGTGCTTTGCTCGCTACAGTACATAAAGGGCCCAGCAGCAGGAAAGGAAATGAGATAGTCCTGCAGGGCGGGAACCAGGTCAAGAAGCACTGTGCCCACTATGCAGTGCTTAGATTTTATCCTACAGAAGCTGGAGGGCCACCGAGGACGTCCAGAATGCCTTAAAAAGCTCATTTAGGCAGCAGAGCAGAAGATAATTAGGAAGGGGACGAGGGAGACCACTAAGGAGACAAGAGACCAGCCAGAGCCAGGGAGGGGATGGACAGGGGAACACAGATTAAACACATCATTTAAAGAGACAGCCTCATCAGGACTTGGCAACTAATCAGGTATGTGGGGAAAAGGGGTGTAAGATGACTCCCAAGTCACCGGCTCAGGCGCCTGGAGGGCTGGTGGACCCCCTGGGAGAGGACCAGGTTCGATGAAGACGACTAACTCAGTCTGAAGCGTCCTGAATTAGAAATGTACACAGAACATACAGGTGCAGAAGCCAGTGGGCAAAGACATACAGGTTTAGAGCTCAGGAGAGAGATCAGAATGGTGGCTCACGGGCACAAACAAGATGGCCCAGAATGAGGGGAGAAAAAGGGTCATGAGATGACTGAGAACAGAATTCTGAAGAAAATCACTTAAGGGAGCGGTCAGAAGAAAAGGTTCCAACAATAACAGACAAAAGGAGAATCGGAGGAGACTTATGGAAAAATCCGAGAGCTTCCAGAAGAAAAGCAGCCGTGTGACATGCTAACGGAGGACTCGTAAGACAGAGCCTGTCTAGCCTATTAAAGATGACAACTAGGTCAGGATGGCTTCAGTGAGCGCTGCTTCAGGAACACGGTCAGAACAAGCAAAGACAAGCACAACATACAGACTGCCAAGGGCACGGAAGAGAGAACAGATCGAGAAAAGGAAGAGCGCGCACGTAAAGCCTTCTGCTTCTAGCAGCTTGACTACGAAGGGAAGGACTGGGGGAATGGTGCCAGAGACACGGGACTGTGAGCAGGGTTCCGTTCGGTTGGATATTTTAAGGTGAAACTCTTGAGCACGTTTACATGGTAGACAGGTCAAGGATATGTAAAACAGAAAAGTCCATCTGATGGCACAATCCCGGAGAGAGCAGAAGAGGAAGTGCATGGTATACATGGCACAGGTGCCTGAATTAACCTGGGACAAGACAACAATTTCCCTGAGAAAGAGGGGAGAAAACTAAGGATGCGCATAGATACATTAAATAGGATAAAAAGCAATAGACTACAACTGCTAGTCTATAGCTCTGAACAGATAACAAGACCGCCTAACGAGAGAAAAACGAAAAGAGGAGGATGGAAGAGTGGCCTGGGAGAGTGAAGAGAGTTAACTAGGAATCTGTGATGTTATGCTGTTTGGATCTTGATTCAAATTCACTGTAAAAAAAAACTTAGGCTAATGGAGAAAATGTGATCTCTGAATGAGTTTAAGAAAATCAAACTCGTCTTTTACATACATGCTGAAATGTTTACCGATGAAACGTATAAGACTTAAGTTTGCTTACAATTAAGGAGGTGGATATGAATGGGGTAAAGATGAAATGAGCCTGGCCAAGTCTTCATAATAGTTGATATTGGAAACACAGAGACCTTATCTTTTCGACTTTTGAATATGTATGAGATTTTCCATGTTAAAAACTACAGAATGAGCAAAAAGTTAAGATAGCTGTTACAGATTAAGTACCTCGATTTCTATTTTCTTGAATCACCTAAGAGAATTTTACTAACCTGTCTGCCAACTTTTTGTCGGCATCGGAAAGTTTCCTCTTCGCTTTCACTTTTTTGGCAGGTTCTTGCAAAAGTGGTCTTTGATTTGGGAATGTACTTTCTTCCTCCTCATCCCGTTTCCTTTTTTTGGTGGTTTCCTTTTAAAAGTTTGAAGTTATGTGTGAGACCTCATCCTTTTCAATAATTTAGGGGGGGTCTTTCTAAGTTAGCATCTTTTCTCTCTCGCCGGTATGACCAATTACTGGAAATTCATCCTACCTGCCTCATTTAAGAAATCATGGCCTGCAGGGCAGATTCTTGCTTCCAAGCTGCTCTGCTGGGCCACTCGGAGGGGAATCGGTGACTTACCTTAGGCACAGGCACGAACACGGGTGGAAGCTGAGGCTCCACGGAGCTGAAGAGGGCCGCCAGCCGACCTGGGCCGCCTCCGGAAGGGCGCGCGCCGTGGACTAAGCTGTCGGCGACCTGTCCGACCAGGTAGTCTCCTGCCAGAGGCCCACGACCGCCATCGTCCGGGCTCTCCCTGGGGACCGACGCCAGAGACTCAGCAACACCGGCGCCACCGCTCACCCGCCCGAGCCCAGGGTCCCGTGGCGCGCGCGACTCACCCCTCCTGAGCACTCTTCTTTTTCCTCCGTTTGGTCTTCCCTTCCGGAGCCATTCTCAGCCGGAGGCCTCCCGGAGCCGCAGCACGCGACCCCGCACTTCCGGGTCCCGGCGACTTCCGGCCAGGACCACGCCCCTTCCGCCTCGGCGCCCCTGGGGCCGCGCTGGGGGCGGAGACACCGGCGGCGGGAGATACCAGGGGGCGGGGCGGGGCTGCGGCCCGCTCTCTTTCCGGTTCTGTTCCCGAGAAACGGAGTTTGGGAGTGAAGTGTCTCCCAGGAGTAGCTCAGGCCCTAAGTGTAAATGGGAATCAGCCAGGCCGGAAGTGGGGGTCAGTCCCCGCAGAGAGAGGGCGCACGAAACCCCGGAATTGTTGGAGAGGAAGGAGGTTCTCAAGGAATGAGGTTGCGGGGATTCGGGAGTTAATTGTCGATTCGGTGTGAAGGGTACACGGGACTACTTCGTACTGCTCGTGCAACTTTTCTGAAATTGGACATTATTTCAAAGTAAAGTTACAAACAAATAGTTGGAGACCACAGCTTTAACCTGGTCTGCTCTGCTGTTCTACCAGGAAAAGTACATGCTTGGCACTCAAAATTGCTTTTTAATCTGCCTAGCTTCCCAGACTCATCCCTCCCCAAACCCTTTCTAGAATTCTAGCCCTTTTTCGCCATCTTGTTAGTCCTTCCCTTTCCGTCAGCCCTTCTTATGCTTGCTCTTTACCCCTCATTTTCACCTGCAAAATTGTAACCGTCCTTCAAGGCCCACCTCAGATACTTAATCATTTATGGAAATTTTCCGGCATTTACAAGAGGTATAATCTTGTTCCAAACCTCCGTATATGTATTTGCATTAGTGTTACTCAGTCTCAAGATGTAAATGGGTGTCTTATTCACCCTGTGTTCTGGATCTCTATATTTATCGAAGCTGGTCAATATTTGGTACATTGACTTTTAGGTGATAAAAAATATTAGATTATAATTAGATAATTGAATTCAGCAGTTTGGGTGGTAAAATAGAATTTGACTTTGAATCCATGAGAACAGACTTGGCTTTTTGAAAGTTGCTTAACAGAAGTCACTGGGAATATATATGACCTTTTATAGCTTACCTCAGATCATTTAAAAAAAAAAAAATTCAACTGCTTGGCCCTGGTTTTGATTTCTGAATCCCTTATTTTGGTTTGCCATAATTGTTACCTTGTGGTATTTCACAAAGATGAGAAAAATCGAACTCCTCTTATTTGCAATTCGAGCATCTCCGCCTGTCCTATACAATCTCATGAAGAAATTCTACCCATTCTTCTTCAGCTGTCTCCCTCCCAATGCCATTCCTTCCCCAGTCTTCCCAACAGCATCCCAAGAATCACTTCGCAAGGACCGCAGCCTCATCGCATCTGGCTGGCCTGATTCTTCCTCTCCACTCTTGCCCACACATTCCACTTCCAGGAAATCGCCCTCGAATGTGAAGGTTTGCATCTCTATGTCACCATCGCGTTAGGCGTTGGCCATCACGTTCCTGTATGCTCACATACTGCCTACTTTAAACTCTTATGTACTTGTTTCCCTGCCCGTAAAATTTAATACGTAATCTTATACATATTACTTCCACAACTAAACCATAAATCCATTCTTCTGGGGGATTACAACTTACATATACAAAATCTATATGATGTTAGCCCCGAATCCCTACATAGCAGATGAAAATTAGACAGTTGGAGAAATGGACTCACAATGAAAGGCAGCGCACGCTTCCAGAGGAAAACAGTAAGAAAGAGGTCAAAGTCAGCTACAAAACCAGTCTCCATTGCTGTTCAGAACTGGTTTAGAGACGACTTAAAATATGTGAGACGGGACATCACTTGTAAAATTCTTAATCTTTTAGCAGGTAATGAAATGGGACATCTCTTGCAGAGTTAATCTTTTTAGTAAACCTAGTTGTTTTCTTCCCCCTTTTCTTTGGAAAAAGGCCCTCTCCCTCAAATTCTGATCATTGCCCTGGTGACTCAGATCCTCTGGCTGTTGATAAGGGTCATCAGCCCATTGTTAAGCAGAAATGGTGTTAAGCCAGGCAGGGCCCTCAGAATCTGAGGGGGTAGGGGGCTTTAGGCCTAAGGTCTTTTTTTTTTTTTTTTTTTCTACTCTTTAAGAAATATATTAACCAAGCCTGTTTCCCTATACAGGCAAATCAATAATAGAAATTAACAGATATACAACTTAAATAACAAGTTCGTATCTTCTCCTTGTCTAGGGACTGAGGTGGCATTCCAGCAGGAAACCCAAGACCCCACTGAGTCAGGAAGGGACAATGGCCATTCTCAGCAGGGAGCAGATAAGGAAGAGACCTCCCGTCCATACTACTAATAAGGGGTTCATGGATCTTAGAAGAGTAAGGCAAGAAAATTAGGGGTTTTCTGGGTCTGCCTGCAAAGACACTGAGGTCATCCTATCCTAGAAGGGGTCCGCCCTAATGCTCTAATCTGCCCACAATTAAGCAAGCCAGAGGCATTTTAATTCACACAAAGAAACCCGTAGGCAGAGAATTAGGTGCCAGTTTAAGCCAGTCACTCGCATCCGCACAATTAAGACCCCAAGGACATTCAACTCACCTGAGCCTCGTTATATCATCATTATAATATGATGCATATGCCTGGAAGTTCATTAATATCATTATAACATACTGAATTCTGGGAACACGCATGCGCACAAAGCAAAATGATAAATCACTGAGTCCCGTTGATCTAAGTTGTCAGTCGAGGAAGGCCACTCCTCTAAGAAAAGTAACCACCCACAGCAGAAAGGAATAAAAACCCTGAAGGCCGTTACTAGACCTTTCCAGCCAGGCTTCTCTTGCTCGGCCCGTTTCCACTTCTGGAAGTGTACTTTCCCTTCTAACAAAACTTTTCGACTGTATTTCGGTGTCTTGCTCAATTCTTTGTTCATCAAGAACCTGGACAATGAGCTGGGAGAGGATCCCCTCTCCGGTAACATAAGGACTCTTTTCACAGAAAAATGCAGATGAAAACATGTAACAACAAAAAAGAAAAGTTAGGGGTTTCATGGGATCTGCTCCATCTTCCCCAACCTCCCCAGGCTAAGAAAATTAACAAGACCTCACCCTCAGGTCAGTATTTGAGTAGGAAAAAAAAAGGTTTTGGAGGACACTGTAAGACAATATACTGTCTGTCTGAATTTTATCATAGATCGTAAACTAGGTTGATACGATGTAGTTTGGGTGACCAGGAGAAAACTTAAGTCAAATTCTAGTAGTATCATGAAATTTTCAGTCTCCAGAGAAGCTGGGAAGAAGGGAGGAGAGGGAGGAAGAGAGCAGAGAAGCCCAAGGGTATGCAACTCAACTCCAACAAAGTCAGGGATGGTTCTCCTTCCGACTGCTGTTTCTGTAACACACAGGGTAGATATTAATCGTTCCTCGAAAAACAGGATTTCATGATCAGGTAAGATTGAAGATAGAGTAAAGTGAGTTGGCTAGGTGTCTTCGCAGGCCTTCTCAAAGTTCTTAACATACTAACGCTGAATCAATCTCTTAAGAAGGGAATGTGCTCTATACTTCATTTCCAAAATACATTTGACAATAAATTCCCAGAGCATTTCTGGGGTCCAGTATTTAGGACCTTAGGAAGCACTAATCAACAGATTTTTTTAAAACTCGACCCTTAAACTAAAATTTCTGTGAAAATAAAGGGTCATCCCAGAGATGCTTTAAAAATATACATTTGAACTTTATAGGTCTTAAAAAGAAGTTTTTTTGTTGTTGTTGTTTTAAAGGAAGGATATTCTCTTGGCGGAAAGTTCATTAAATAGGGCGAAAATAAAACCCTAATTATTGAGTCTAAAAGTTTTGAAGTAAAGTGGTACTTCTCAACTAGATGCGTATTAAAATCACTGGAGATCTTTAAAAACGGATCAACGTCTGGGTACCATCCCAGACTCTTAAAGGTCTGGGCCTGAGTACTGACTATTGTTTTAACAATGCCCAGCGGTTCCAATGCGCAACGAGTAGAGGGCACCAGAAGAGGAAGAGACCCGCAAAGGTCCCTTTAAATTAAATGACCAAAAAGGGGAGGGGGGGCCCGGCTGCTGGTAATGAATGGTTTCAAGCGTGTTAAAGAAAAAAAGTAAAACAACTTTGATTTCCCTCTTCAGACAAATCTCCAAGTCATAAGTACTCACGTTCAGACTCAAGCAAAATAGTGTATGCAAAGATATACGAATGCCTAATAAAACCCACATCTGGTTAGTGGACGTTTAATTTTTATAGGTAGAATATTTCCTTTTTCGGTATGTCAATTAATTCCTCCTGACAATACCTGCTGGAGATACATGTTCCAGTCAGCCATCACATTCATAGAGGAACTAAAATTACTTAATCTTTTAGAAACGAAATCAAGGATTCACAAACTATGGCATTTTATTTCAGAGCCTTTGCTTACATTTGTACAATATATTACATAATTCTTCATTGTTTGCAGATCCTAATATATACTTTATAGCTTTTATTCTATAAGCTTTTTCTTCAATGTTTTGCTGTCAACAAATCTTTACAGTCCTGTACAAATTTGAGTAACTTGAAACCATTTTCAACAAAATTAGTTACTGTAAGCACACACTACGAGACTGAAAATGCTTTTCTTAGAAAAGTTGAATGTAAAGGATTCTGACACGTTAGCATCTACAACAAAACGCTTCGAAATTCTCACGTCGTATTGCCAGAAAACAAATAAAACATGCCAGCCCCATTCAAAAAAAGTACACAGAACTACAATTAAAACAGTAAAACAGTCTGTACAGTAAAGTACTGTGTATTAACAGTGCCAGGTATTAAATAGCTTGAATGAACACACCCACAATATACAAATGTCTTACAAAGGTGTAGAATTAAATACAAGTGCCAAACAGAACAGAGATTGGAATCATACAACATAAAGTCAATACAAGTGAAAACGATTTTGCGTTCATTTTGGATTTTATACAAGGCATTTAATGTTATAGGCCTACCACTCTGATTAGCTATTTATACTTAAAAGAACCACTATCCATTTGAGACAGTTCATATCAATAACCTTGAACCATACAAATACAGTTTCCTTGTTCCTG